AGTGGTGTAGGGTATAATTAACCCCACAAAAACGGAGTTTGAATTGTCTCAGATACCATACAAAAATCAACTAAGTAATTGTATCATCTGTGGCAGCAATCTTAATTCCAATAACACTGGAATTCTATAAAATTTCAATAGCAAAAATAATTGCTTCATAATTTTTAAAACATGGATTACTTTCTTGCATTTTTGCAAAAAAGAAAAATTATATGAATCATGATGTAAAATGTGCCAATAAAATATCTTAACAAAATTATTTTAAACATGGAATGTATTGTAAAAAAAAAAATCCACATAAAAAATATATGCAACTTTTTTTTAGCTTGGTTGGTAAATTATCCTTGAACTCAAGAGTTTCTTTATTTTTGCACATTTTTTGTCGATAATGTTTGGTTGTTGCAAGTACGTTTTCTATGTGACTTTTTTGAATAAGAAGAAAAACATGAAATAAAATCAGTAGTTGGCAGCTGAACCACTAAAATGCCATCAACTATTTAATGTAGTTTCCGTTTCATGGTAAATTTTAACTCAGTAACAAACAGACAACTGAAAGAGTGAGTGAATGTATGAAAAATCAAGTCACAACAACATTGACTGAGGTGGTTGGTGTAATGTGAAAGCTAATCTAGTTGTTTCTGTACTGCTACTGCTTGCTACTCTTATAGTTAAACTATTCGGGGTTTATGCATCTTTATAGTGGAAGTGCCTTTGGTTTTGAGTCAAGTATGATGATGGCATTTTTTGCTTTATATTATACATACGTATATTTTTTTGTTATTTTTACATTCATTTTTTTCCCTTTATTGATGCGAGTGACTTTTACTGTTGCTGCCTGCAATTGACTCGTTGTTGAACTAGAATTTTTATTTTTCTATTATAGATTTTACAAATGCTTTTATCACAAACCTTTTAAATCCAACTAACAACAACAATGTTTCGTTTTTTTTATTTTAGTCAATTTTTCAAACAATTTTCCTCGATATACTAATATACAAACTAAATTGGTATTTTAGTACTAAACAGTGGGACATTAGACAAATTATAGAAACGAACTTGTTATTGAAAATTTCTAGCAAATGTTTTCTTAAGTACTCATCACAATTAAGCTTTCGATTTACGATTAGTTATTTTTGTTAATTTTTTAAAACATAAGTGATCGCAAACTTTTGCAAATTTCAATTTAGTCCCTCTTGTACTTTTTCCCTTACATAGGACGTGTATATTTAATTGTTTGTTTTTTTGAACAATTCTAAAATTCTTTAATAATATTTTATGAAAATGTATACAGAGGGAAAAAAATATACACGCCTGGTACCAAATTGACACCAAACTGTTTATAATTTTTCAATACCATCCGTTGTCAAAGTATATACATGCGTACGACAACAATCCGTTGCCAATAGTGAGCTTACCACGTTTGTTAACATTTAGACAACGGATGTGTATAAAATTTAGATTTCGACAACGAAGTGTTGCAATGTTGCGTTGTGTTGTCGTACGTATGTATATACTTTGACAACGGATGTTATTGAAAAATTATAAACTCTTTGGTGTCAATTTGGTACCAGGCGTGTATGTATATTTCCTTTTCCCTCTGTGTACCAAAAAGTTTCCACCAAAGTACCAAAATGTTCTCTTTTATAGATTCTGAATCAGTAAGGACAATATATGTTTAATTTCATATGTTTTGGTTCCAAATTAGAGACAATTCAATTTGTGTCATTTGTAGAACAGAAAAGTTCTAAACCAAATATTTATATGTACATATTTCTAAATATATTCATATTGTTAAAATTAAAAAAAGATTTTTCTTCTATTAACCCACTGTGCCTATAGAATTTGGTATTTTCTAATACTGTTGGCTCTTTTGCTACTAACGATGTACTATATTGACGAGAGAAATGCACCATATCAATTTTTCATAGTTTATTTCTAAGTAATCTAAAATATACAAAGTCAGTTTACGTAGGAATTTACGTCTCTAGCAAGGTACTTGTTTCTCCCCCTGCTATACTAACTTATATTAGAATCTTTCAAATATAAAAAAAAAATAATTCTATTATTGCCAAATCTGTTGAACTCTCTTTAGTATTTTTATTGTAATATTGCTTATTGTTCGTTTAAAATTTCCCTTCCTCAAATTGAACGCTTTTTGGCTATTAGCATAAATTTAGTATCATTATCATTAAATTTATTCGCTTGGTCTGTTGGTCATTTTTGTGATGCCCGCATTTCCATGAATTCGTTACAATAATTTTCATGATTCAGTTGAGATTACCAACCATAAATCGCATAGAAAAAGTTCGAATGATTGATTTGTATTTTGTTGGCTTTTTTGTTGATTTTATCCATGATTTTTATTGCATTTTACCATTATTGGCCATTTCATTTGCATAAATAAATCGTCGACAAAAGGGGAGGCACGTGCGGCTTTGGTGGCACTTTGTGTAAATAGTATTATTGATTTTTTAGAGGCGGTTTAATATAATTGTAATATTGACTTATGTATTTGTTTCTATTTTTATGAGGTTTTGCGTAATAATGTTTTATTTTGCCAAATTCTTTGTTTTTTAGATGTGCAACATAGACAAAATCTAATGTAAATTCAATTATAGATTTTAAATTAGTCGAAATTAGTTTCAATGCTTAATCATAAAATTGTTTTCATTACACTTTTCAGGAACTGGGTAGGCTTAGTCTAACTTATGTCAAAATGATAGATATTAACCTGTTCCTCGTAGAATCCTACTTTTATATGGAGACTAGCTTTTTAAGAAGTGCTACGGGCCATTTTCAAAAGTCTTTGAATGTACTAGTCCATAGGCTGGAATAGTCAGTAGACTAATAAGAAGTTAGTTAGTTAGATAGTTAGTTAGTTAGTTAGTTAGTTAGGTAGGTAGTAAGTTAGTTAGTTAGTTAGTTCGGTAGGTAGTAGTTAGTAGTTAGTTAGTTAGTTAGTTAGTTAGTTAGTTAGTTAGTTAGTTAGTTAGTTAGTTAGTTAGTTAGTTAGTTAGTAGTTAGAAGTGTAGTTAGTAGTTAGTTAGTTAGTTTAGTTAGTTAGTTAGTTAGTTAGTTAGTTAGTTAGTTAGTTAGTAGTAGTTAGTTAGTTAGTAGTTAGTTAGTTAGTAGTTAGTTAGTTAGTTAGTTAGTTAGGTAGTTAGTTAGTTAGGTTAGTTAGTTAGTTAGTTAGTTAGTTAGTTAGTTAGTTAGTAGTTAGTTAGTTAGTTAGTTAGTTAGTTAGTTAGTTAGTAGTTAGTTAGTTAGTTAGTTAGTTAGTTAGTTAGTTAGTTAGTTAGGTAGTTAGTAGTTAGTTAGTTAGTTAGTTAGTTAGTTAGTTAGTAGTTAGTTAGTTAGTTAGTTAGTAGTTAGTTAGTTAGTTAGTTAGTTAGTAGTTAGTAGTTAGTTAGTTAGTAGTAGTTAGTTAGTTAGTTAGTTAGTTAGTTAGTAGTTAGTTAGTTAGTTAGTTAGTTAGTTAGTAGTTAGTTAGTTAGTTAGTAGTTAGTTTAGTTAGTTAGTTAGTAGTAGTTAGTTAGTTAGTAGTTAGTTAGTTAGTTAGTTAGTTAGTTAGTTAGTAGTTAGTAGTTAGTTAGTTAGTTAGTTAGTAGTTAGTAGTTAGTTAGTTAGTTAGTAGTTAGTTAGTTAGTTAGTAGTTAGTTAGTTAGTTAGTTAGTTAGTTAGTTAGTAGTAGTTAGTTAGTTAGTTAGTTAGTTAGTTAGTTAGTTAGTTAGTTAGTAGTAGTTAGTTAGTTAGTTAGTTAGTTAGTTAGTTAGTTAGTTAGTTAGTTAGTTAGTTAGTTAGTTAGTTAGTTAGTTAGTTAGTTAGTTAGTTAGTTAGTTAGTTAGTTAGTTAGTTAGTTAGTTAGTTAGTTAGTTAGTTAGTTAGTTAGTAGTTAGTTAGTTAGTTAGTTAGTTAGTTAGTTAGTTAGTTAGTTAGTTAGTTAGTTAGTTAGTTAGTTAGTTAGTTAGTTAGTTAGTTAGTTAGTTAGTTAGTTAGTTAGTTAGTAGTTAGTTAGTTAGTTAGTTAGTTAGTTAGTTAGTTAGTTAGTTAGTTAGTTAGTTAGTTAGTTAGTTAGTTAGTAGTTAGTTAGTTAGTTAGTTAGTTAGTTAGTTAGTTAGTTAGTTAGTTAGTTAGTTAGTTAGTTAGTTAGTTAGTTAGTTAGTTAGTTAGTTAGTTAGTTAGTTAGTTAGTTAGTTAGTTAGTTAGTTAGTTAGTTAGTTAGTTAGTTAGTTAGTTAGTTAGTTAGTAGTTAGTTAGTTAGTTAGTTAGTTAGTTAGTTAGTTAGTTAGTTAGTTAGTTTAGTTAGTTAGTTAGTTAGTTAGTTAGTTAGTTAGTTAGTTAGTTAGTTAGTTAGTTAGTTAGTTAGTAGTTAGTTAGTTAGTTAGTTAGTAGTTAGTTAGTTAGTTAGTAGTTAGTTAGTTAGTTAGTTAGTTAGTTAGTTAGTTAGTTAGTTAGTTATTAGTAGTTAGTTAGTTAGTTAGTTAGTAACACCTATACATCCATCAGGCCTGTTAAAGCCACCTTCACTGGTGGGAAACGAACCCTCGTCCTCCGGTCTAACAGACTAGAAAACTAAATCACCGGAGGCATACAAATACTGTTCAAAACGTACGAGTGTACATTATGGATTATTTCTAATACACACTCGACTGCGTACTATATAAATTTAATAGGCTTTTCATAGACTGATCTATGTACTAGTTCTTAGATTAGTCAAGAATCTGGTCCATACACTATTCAATAGACGATTTCATAGATTTCAATCCGTCAGCATTAGACTTGTCAGTACTACATATACTAATCCATAGATAAGCCCAAATAACTAGTTCATATATGGGACAATGGGCCGGTCCATACACTTTACCCTAGACTAATCGATATACTAGTTCACATTCTAGTCTACTGTGCCCTATCATACTTTAAACAGACAGACGGACACATAGCTTGTATACCATCGAGTTATATAAAAAGTTTTTTTTTAATAAAAAAAAATAAGCACTTTTATACAAATTTTTTAACTTAAAAAGAACGAATTTTTAATAGACACTATTTCATCACGTTTTAGACAGTATTTATTATGACATATCTTAACTACCAAAATAATCCCATTCTTGATGCACCAGATGTAAATGGTCTATATTTGGCCTGCAATGCACCTAAAGCGGCCATACCATCACGCAACAGCGATGAGCTACACACTTTATATTGCCATATATCGAGAGGTGTTTGTACGAATGACTCACAATTGACGAGACCCTCTTTGACATCTTGTAAAATTTTCTCGCCTTCTAATTTAGCCTCGGACGGTAAAGCTTCACGTATATATTCTTCTATAGATGAACTAACAACATTTGAAAATTTAAAAGCTTCTTGAATTTCCGCATCGATTACGGTTGTTACATCAGTTGCAACATTAATATTTTGACTAAGAACAGAAGGCTCTAATAACTAAAAGAAAAATTACTTTTAGTTTACTTTTTAAACTTTTTTAATTTTAATTAAATTTACCGCATTTATAATTAAACAAAAAGTAATAAATTTGAACATGTTTTTATTGTAAATTATTTCACTTCCTAATTACAAGTCACTTTCTAGTTTGCAGGTTTTAAAGAAACTGATTGTTTTTTTAGTTGGCCTGATTTTTTTGTTTTGTAAAATTTATCTTTTCTTTTTTTATTTAAGATTTAATTTATTTAAGATTAGATATCTAGTGATTGTGGGCTGTTTTGTGATAAATAAAAAGTTGTCTCATTTAACACAATTTATTTTAGATTTATTTGTATTTAAATAAGAAACTATTAAAGATATACTTATGTGTCGGTCACCAGTGTATGGAGGCCTATTTATTTAAAAATTAGTGGAAACATATATGCATAATTCCACAGAAAGTGTATTAACTTCTGGCAAATAACTAAATTCTAATATATTGTTTTTATATTAAAGTTGAAATTTAAACTCTTTTCAAATAAAGTCTAATAAATCAGAAAATATAAAAAATTATTATAAGGTAGTTTTAAGTCGTTCTAAGCCAACTTGAGATATTTGATAAAATAAGCGTCACCAAAATTTTCTACCAAAAACTATATAGATATTTATTTGATCTTGCGTGACTTTTGTAAGAGTAAACAACGTCAAAAATAATGCTAGTTTAACTAAATAAATATGTTCTGCTGAAACGAAAGTGAAAAATTGTTTACTTTTTTTTTTTCGCACTATTTCGTCAAATATTTAAATTCGTCATGGAAAATAAATTCACATAATTCTAATAGATTACCCGATATTCTCTGTGAATGTAAAGTTTGTATGAATTTAATTTAAATTGTATAGATAATAAATTATATCTGGTGCACATTGTAACTAGACTTGTAATAGTTTTCTATATTTGAATAGCAAGAATATCCAACAAACAAATATCATGATGTTGCATTATTTTCAGTTTATTACTTTTACAATTGAGTGGTATAAAACCAAAAGCAGCAATCTCATTTTGATAAATGTTCTTATTTTGTAAATATTTTTTTATTTTTTAATGATGTGTATTAGAGACGTCCGAGGAACAGCATTTTTAAAAATCTCATGTGGGAATATTTCTGAATAGAAGCATATTACTGTACTGAACTCGAGAAAAATAAACAAATAATATGCTAGACTATAGACTATACTATAGACTATACTATAGACTAGACTATAGACTAGACTATAGACTAGACTATAGACTAGACTATAGACTAGACTATAGACTAGACTATAGACTAGACTATAGACTAGACTATAGACTAGACTATAGACTAGACTATACACTAGACTATCGACTTGACTATAGACTTGACTATAGACTAGACTATAGACTAGACTATATACTAGACTATAGGTTAGACCATACACTAGACTATAGACTTGACTATAGACTTGACTATAGACTAGACTATAGACTAGACTATAGACTAGACTAGACTAGACTATAGACTAGACTATAGACTAGACTATAGACTAGACTATAGACTAGACTATAGACTAGACTATAGACTTGACTATAGACTAGACTATAGACTAGACTATAGACTAGACTATAGACTAGACTATAGACTAGACTATAGACTAGACTATAGACTAGACCAACGGTTCCCAAAAGGGGGTCCGCGGACCCCTAGTGGTCCGTAGCAAAATCCTAGGGGGTCCGCGAAGACGAACGAAAAAAATCATGAATAAAAAATATTCTCTATATGTTACAAAATATTAAAAATATCTCCAAATTTTTCATAAATACTAAAATACACAATTTTTATTCAATAATCCCAGATTTGTTGGTGACTCTTTGAATTTTATTGTTTCGGTCGTTTATCAGGATGAAGCTAGGCGCTACAAATTTATTGTTTCACTTTTATAAAGTAAAGTATTACTTGATTTGTAATTTTTATAAATATATGTATATGTATCGAAATAAATGTTTTTATAGCAGACGGATAATGATTTGCCTTAGAATTAAATACTGATACTGGTATCCCGGAATATGAAGTTAGGTCACATTTCATAATATTTTTTTAAATTGTAAGCAAAAGTGTTAATCTAGTTAATTTTAAATATAAATATTCCATTCCAACGTGATACACAGATTTTAACTTCATTTTGTTGTCCAATATTATTAAATCAACATCAGAAAATTCATAGCGTTTTGCGTAAATAGTCAAAACCACGCAGTAAAATAATTCGTAGGTATTTTAAAATTCAAATTTAAGATCCAAATTCACAGTACATTCGCAAAGAGTTCAGGTCATATTTTATGTGGGTAACGCATTCCGCAACAACATCGAAGAAGTCTAACTTTCACATATTTTCCCGAAAACTTAGCTTACATACTCAGCTCACTCCTATTCAATCGCAAAAAAAATTAGAAACATGACTCTTTAAGCACATGTCGACAATACTTGTTAAAGAAACCTTTTCTCTACCTTGACGAGAAATGAACATGAAAGCTCTCACGATCATAAAATTAAACATCATGTTAGAAGTCATTCTATATTTAAAACCATGAAATTGAAAACATCTCCGAAATACTAAATGTTCTCAATGTACCGGAATATTTTATAGGGTTTATGGACCAGGACTAAGACAATTTTCGGACGAACAATTACACAGTGATACAGCAAAAAAATGCAGGGGTTCTCATATACCAATTCCATTTCGTTATAGTCCATAGAGTAGGAATTTATTTTTAATTTTTCCCGATCACTTCGTTTAGTTCCTTTTTAAGAGCAAAAGTTGTGAAAAAGAGCTATTTTTGAAGTTTTAACTTTAAAAAAAATATATGTTTGGTAGTTTGCAACCGATTTTCAAATTGGATATTTTGTTTTAAAGATACAAGTGTTGTCTTTCAACCCAAAAAAATAAATCCAAAATTTATGATTAATGTCTTGGTTACGGCCATTTAAGTAAAAAAACTCACACTTTTTTCACAATTTTTAATTTTCATACTGCTCTACGTTGGCCATGAAGCAGTAACTTTAGCTTTTATTTCATTTGAAAAAAGGCACATTAAGTTGGGTTTCCAATGATGGTCAATTTATGATAATCGATGAAAAAGGTTATGAGTTGTGCTAAGTTTTATAAAAATATAGCATATTTCTTCCATACAAAAACGTTCATGTTTCTGGTTTTCTTTGTAACAAGTTTAAAAAATGTTTATAAACAATTTAAACAAAAATTAATTTGTATGAAGAAAACCAAAAATTCGAGAAACATGCTATTAGAAAAATTGGCATAAATCATCCAGTTTTTATGAAATAACAAGTTTTAGAAACCTTCCTTTATGTGATTCTTCAGGAAAGTAATAAAAGATGAACTCACTGCCTCATGGTCAAAGTAGAGCATGATGAAAATGAAAATTTTTTTAAAAAAGTGTGAGTTTTTTTAATTAAACGACCGTAACTCAGACATTTGACCATAAATTTTGGATTTCTTTTTTTGGATTAAAAGACACTTGTATCATTAAAAAAAATATCGGATTTGAAAATCGGATGAAAACTACTAAACTTATGATTTTTCAAATTTAAAACTTCAAAAATGGCTCTTTTTCGCATCTTTTGCTCTTAAAAAGTAAGTTAACGAAGTGATAGGGGAAAACTAAAAATATATTCGTACTCTATGGACTATAACGAAATAGAATTGGTATATGAGAACGCCTGCATTTTATTTTTCTTCACTTTTGTATCACAGTGTTATTTATAACAATAAGATATCAAAATATGTATGGGGGTCCGTGAAATTAAATAAATTCCTCAAGGGGTCTGCGAAGTAAAAACGGTGGGAACCGCTGTATAAGATACTTCCGAGGAACAGCATTTTTAAGAATCTCATGTGGGAATATTTCTGAATAGAAGCATATTACTGTACTGAACTCGAGAGAAATAAAAAAATAATAGGCTAGACTATAGACTAGACTATAGACTAGACTATAGACTAGACTATAGACTAGACTATAGACTAGACTATAGACTAGACTATAGACTAGACTATAGACTAGACTATAGACTAGACTATAGACTAGACTATAGACTAGACTATAGACTAGACTATAGACTAGACTATAGACTATAGACTACTATAGACTAGACTATAGACTAGACTATAGACTAGACTATAGACTAGACTATAGACTAGACTATAGACTAGACTATAGACTAGACTATAGACTAGACTATAGACTAGACTATAGACTAGACTATAGACTAGACTATAGACTAGACTATAGACTAGACTATAGACTAGACTATAGACTAGACTATAGACTAGACTATAGACTAGACTATAGACTAGACTATAGACTAGACTATAGACTAGACTATAGACTAGACTATAGACTAGACTATAGACTAGACTATAGACTAGACTATAGACTAGACTATAGACTAGACTATAGACTAGACTATAGACTAGACTATAGACTAGACTATAGACTAGACTATAGACTAGACTATAGACTAGACTATAGACTAGACTATAGACTAGACTATAGACTAGACTATAGACTAGACTATAGACTAGACTATAGACTAGACTATAGACTAGACTATAGACTAGACTATAGACTAGACTATAGACTAGACTATAGACTAGACTATAACTAGACTATAGACTAGACTATAGACATACTATAGACTAACTATAGACTAGACTATAGCTAGACTATAGACTAGACTATAGACTAGACTATAGCAGATATAGACTAGACTATAGACTAGACTATAGACCTAGACTATGAACCTAGACTATAGACTAGACTATAGACTGACTATTACTAGACTATAGACTATACTTAACGAGACATAGACTAGACTATAGACTAACTATAGACTAGACTATAGACTAGACTATAGACTAGACATAGCTAGACTAACTAACTATAGACTAGACTATAGACTAGACTAATAGACTAGACTATAACTAACTAAGACTATAGCTATAGTCACTATTAACTTTAACATTTTATGTACTTAATTGTTTAATTTTAATTTTTGTACCAGAAATAAATAGTAAAATAGAAAAATTCTTTTTTTATAAATGTCAGTTCTGAAATTACTGAAATTTTAAATGTGAGGGTGTCAAATAACTTTAGTGAATGCCAATATATATAAATTAG